TGGTATGTTGAATGCAGCATTGGTTCAAATATAAAGTCTATAATTTCTTACGAATTAGGAACTCAAATTACCGATATGTACAAGCTAGAATATAAATGAAGAACCTCCTATCTTTTCTATTTGTTTTTTATACCTATCACCCCACTGCTCCTTCTAAGCGTGTATCTAATTTCTAAAACCAATTTAATTTCCTGACTATAGTCATATTATATATCTAAAAAGTAAAGCCTCCCCACCCCACCCAGTTACTCAACGGCAAGTCTGCAGGATTACAACAGTAAAAATCTGGTTTCAATGCCAGTGGTTGCAGGGCACAGAGAGTGCACACTGTAGTTTTGTGTTTAACAACAACCAAACAAAAAAGTAATGTTCCAAAAACGTATATCTTGTAATATTTTAAGTGTTTTTTTTTTGTATCACAGTTTATGTGAATAACAGTATTTTTTAAAGAGTCTTCTTCGGAATGTTGTGGTTTGAACACCAAACAAGTAAAATTTCCATTCAGGATGATTGAGAATCCTGTTTTCATGAAAGTAATTCAGAAATAGGAAGGTACAGGAAAATAACTGTTAGTGGTATGGAGTGAGATGTTATGGGCATATCCTGTGGCAATAGCACTGAGAACATGCAAGGTAAACTACGCATGTCATGGCCTGGTGGTTAGAGCGCTCAACTCGAATCCTCATCACACCAAACATACTCGCCCTTTCAACCTTGTGAGCGTAATAGTGTGACGATCAATCCCACTTTTCGTTGGGTGATGTTGACCAGCTGCCTTTCCTTTAGTCTTTCACTGCTAAATTAGAGACGGTTAGCGCAGATAGCCCTCGTGTAGTTTTGCGCGAAAATCAAACCAAACAAACTTTCGAAACTATTAATACGCATTATAACACCAATAATTTCAATTACAAAGGAGTAAACATTAACAGATGAGACATTGTAAACCAACAATTATCAAGATCTTCGAACAACAACAGTTATGGATGTAAATATAGATGGCGTAAATATCTTAACAGCATTAGGAAATGGTGGCAAACAATCAACAGCTGTATTCAGAGTGCTGCCAAAATATAAAAATATGGCAACTTCTTTCTTAGTAATGGTTGCTGTTTTGGTGTGCTCGCACATTGTCTATGCGCGAATTGGCTTTCAATGCGCAGCCGTTGGCACACGTTCCCTATCACAGTGTAAATGATGATATTAATCTGGCAACATTCTGGGCATTCTAG